CCGTATCTGTACCTATTCGATATTTCCAGTTTGCCTACTTACTCTAGGGCTGGCTGGGGGAGTCGGGCCGCGACACAACCAGCGCAAGTTGCAGCCACGAGTTACGACAAGAGGATGAAGCGCATTCTACGCTAGGGTGCTCCGCGTGGAGTGGCGTGCCCTCAGCCCTTTGACCGTCGAGTTGTGAACCTAGGTCCAAATTGAAAATCGAGTTGGACCCACTTGAAATAGGCACAGACGTGCGGGCTGCCCTACCATCGCAGGTGAACGCTCCTCGCCTCGAGCGATGCTTTCGCCGCCGCGCTTATCTACGTGGATTCTTTACCTGTGTTTCTGGTTGGATGCGGCAGTTTTTATTCCCGCGCACCAATCGCTGTCCTGCGCGGATGTTTTCCCTCCTACCCGGGGGTAATAAGGAACAGTGACCCTGAACCCCCTCGCTACAAGGCTTGGTCCCTTAGAAAAAATCCCATACAACCCCCCTTTCAAGTTGGGCCCGCCTTCACTATTCTCCATTCTCGCTTTAACCGTTGGGCCCCCAGGAGCATGCCGAGGATGGAGTCGAAACTTCTATTCCTGTAAGTACAATGCAGTTTCTTTCTAAGTTTTGACAAACCTCGCGCACTTGCATCTCTGACCGTTCGAAGGCGGATGCCTCGCCGACCGTTCGATGGACTGCATCGACAGAGCCGATTTTTTCGCGGGGGAAAATGGCCTCGACCTCGCGAGCTCGTCAGTTCTGGTGGAACACTCCCTGCGACATTCCGAGATGTTCGCAGTTCACCACGACTCTTGGAGTTACGCGGAAATGTGCGGAGCTGCGACCGACGACATTCGTCCGATGGAGATTCGACGCTTCAGATCTCCCGAGGCGAAAACGACATCCTTCTGAGCGAGTTTGAGCGCGCATGGGAACGGGACCTGTTGGTGCAACCCTATGGCTTGCACTCGGCTTGTCGTCCGTGTTTGTGTGTGTGCATGCATGGCATGGAATGACTTGTGAGTCTATGTCATTGCTATCTAGTGCTTGTGTGTGTGTTTGAATGGTGTCTCACAATGTGGTGTGTGTCGGTCAAGACATTAGTGAGTTTTTACAACTCGCATGTCAAGTCGTCGTTTGCGTGTCGCATGTGTTTTTCTATTTTGTCAAGTGTGAAGTGTCCATCGCGTCGCAGGTGTGTGCAGCAAGCCCCCATCAACTCAAGAAGAATTTATCTTGAAGAACCAAGACCAAGAGCTCAAGATTTCAAGCCCAAGGGACGCGGATAAATATTAAATAGTGAAAATAGTAACGCTACTTCGTGTAGTGTTACATTTCACTTGGTGTAGCCCCTTGGAGGGTTTGTTTTGAGACTCTTCGTGGTTGGGGACTCTGTGGTGGTGTACCACCAACCTGGACCTCGGCTCTTGGGGTATGTAGAGGCTGGGAACCATCTCCCTCTCAAATTCTTCTTCCTAAGTTTTTTGTACTCCTAACACTATAGTGGCTGCTGTACCTCCTGCCAGTCAAACCGCCATAGCGTCGTCAAATCTCGATGGAATTTTATGATTCAACTTGCTGCTGATAGGCGACACCAACGCGCTCCAGATCCAATTTACAGATCACCGTTTGAGGCACACATCAGATCGGCATCAATATTTGAAGCTGGCTGACGGAATTCTGACTGTGCACATTTTCTCTCATTTTAGGCACATCTGAGCCTATTGTGATTATAACAAGTGGTATCAGAGCCCCTTGGAGCTGTCTCGACCATGCCTAGACCTGAGGAAGGGGGTGGCAGAGGTGCTGGAGGCAGAGAAGACGCCCAAGCACAAGGTCAACACCAAGATCCACCCATGGCTCCCGTGCAACCTAGCCTTGGCCCCTCTAGGGATGAGCCTAGAGTGTTTGGCCTTGACAAGTTCAACGGTGACAACTTTGCTGAGTGGTCCTTCAAGATGGAGAACATCTTTGACCACTATGATCTGCTGGAGGTGATGGAAGGAACGGAGAAGCGCCCCGAGAACGACCCGGAGAAGAGCCCGTGGGTGCGGAAGAGCGCACAAGGCTATCTTCTACTTGGGCAAGCGTTGGGGAGCAGCCAAATCCGTCACATCAAGCCTTTTCAGCGTGAACCAGCAAAGGGACCAAAGGCATGGGCTGCTCTCAAGGGTGTACACGCTCCTGCAACAGCGGCGGTGGCTGTGGTTTTGGAGCGGCAAATGGCGGCCCTTCGAATTGACGAAGGCGAACCGGTGGAGGACGGAGTGCAGAAATTCTTCGACTTGTTGACACGGCTTGAAGGAGCTGACCTGAACTACAGTGACCTTCAAAAGAAGACCAAGCTGCTGGCCTTGCTTCCGGACTCATGGTCCTCGCTCATCATCAACCTAAATCGAGATCTGCCCCGCCTCTCGCTCGAAGATGTGAAGCGGGAAATCTTACAAGAAGATTTCCGTCGTCGTGAATTGGCGGGTACCGATGGTGCCGGAGTTGCAAGCATGGGCCGTGGGCACGGCCGTGGAAGGGGCAGAGGGCGAGGAGGAAGATTTGGCAGCAGCAACTTCAATGGAGGCCGTGGTAATGGAGGATATGGCAGCAACAACAACAACAATGGCTACGGGCGTGGGCGCGGTCGATTTGATGGCGAATGCCACTTTTGCCACAAGACCGGCCACATGTGGAGAGATTGCTACAGATTGCCTGATGGATGGACCCCTTCTCAAGGCCAAGAGGGCAGAGGAGCAAGGGGAGGAAGAGGCAGAGGTCGTGGAGGCCGTGGTGGCCGTGGAGGCGAAGCGGCAAGCATGAAAGGTGGAGACTACGACAAGGACTCGAGTGAAGATCGATACCCGGGCCAATTCTTCTTTGTCTCCACGCAAGCGGCAGCTGCAGCAGGAGGTGTGGAAGGCTTTGAGGAGCCAGCTACTGTGGGAAAGGTCACCCTTCACTCTCTGGACTTTTGGGTGATCGATAGCGGCGCCACCTATAGCATGACACCTCGTGCGGACTTGCTCACCGAACTCGAACCGTCGCCGGTCAAGCATGTTACATCGGCTTTGGGACAGCGAGCAGAGGTGAAAGGCATGGGCAAGGCCATGTTCAAGGGTGCTGATGGGAAGATGGTGGGCCTCAAGAACGTGCTTTTGGTGCCCAACCTAGCAGCCAACCTGATTTCCGTTCGGCGTTTGCAAAAGGCCGGCATGGACACATCTTCCAAGGGTTCGAAAACATATACCGCGAGGCTTGGTGAGCGGAAGCTTTGGGACCTTCATGAGGACAGGGACATCTACAATGAGATGTGGCAAATCCCAGTGGTCCCCATGCCTAAGGAGAGGCAAGTGGCAGCAAGCGTCAGCACCAAGAGTGAAGCGGATGGTGGCGGTGATCACGGAAAACAAAGTGACACCAAGAGTGACTCGAAGGAGTGCAATCTTGGAGAGACCAGCAAGGCGTGTGAACCCAAGGAGAGTAGTGCAGCAGCCAAAGGTGGTGGAAATGAGGAGGGGAAACCTAAGATCAGCAAAGCAGCAGCGGCGAAGGAGAAAGGAGAGAGCTTGTGGGACACGATTGCGAGTGCCGCTTTCTCCAACCCGACTTCCGCTACGGGAGAGTGTGATTGGCTGACCTTGCATCGGCGAATGGGGCATGTGGCATTGCCCATTTTGCAGCAGATAGTTAAGCAAGAGATGGTCAGTGGGATACGTGTCAAGGGGGAGCCCAATGAGGTGCTTGGCTGTCCAACATGCATGCAAGCCAAGTTCACCCGCTACCCGTTCCATAGCTCGGAGACAACGGCGAAGGCACCACTTGATGAGGTGGTGATGGATGTGGTGGGCCCCTTGAAGCTTGGAGCTGCTGGAGCTGCGTACTTCCTCACCATTGTGGACGTCTACACTCGCATGACTTGGGTGTATGTGCTGCCAAAGAAGAGTGACGTAGCTGAAACGGTGAAGACCGATTGGTTGCCGATGGTGGAGCGGCAACAAGACCGACTTGTGAAGGCGATTCGCACTGACCGTGGGGGAGAGTTCCTGAGCAAGGATTTCTCAACTTGGCTGAAGAAGCAGGGCATAAGGCACTCTCTTACCATGCCCTACTCTCCTGCAATGAACGGCATCGCCGAGCGTGCGAATCGGACACTCACGGAGACGGCTCGGGGACTTCTCATTGAAGCCGGTCTTCCCAATTACTTTTGGCCGGATGCGGTGCGGCATGCTTGTGTGGCCAAGAACAGAGCCTTGACTCATGTGGGAGAAGACAAATGGGTGCCCTATGTGGAGTGGATTGGAAGGAAGCCGAAGGTGGATATGCTTCGGGTGTTCGGGTGCATGTGCATGGCACTTGTGCCTAAGAAACTTCGGCACAACAAACTTGATGCCAAGGCAACATGGGCCGTGCACCTGGGCATGGCTCAAAACAGCAAGGGATGGCTTCTTTGGGACCCATTTACCAAGAAGTTCTTGGTGAGCAGAGATTGCAAGTTCATGGAGAACTTACCGTACAAGGAGTGGAAGGCGGAGAACCAAGCGAAGATTGGTATGCGGCTTGGAGAGGTGAAGAGTAACGGCTTGGAGCATGTGGAGCTGCCCTTGGAGCTGAGTAGCAGCAGCACAGTCACGAGGCAATCTCCTCAAATGAATGGGGATGAAGAGGAGGAGGAGGTGCAGCAAGGTGATGAGCGTGCACCGTCACTTCCGCCTCGTGCTACAAGTGCTCGTGGGAACCGACCAGATTTACCGCAATGCCATGAGAGCATTCAAGTCCCTGCAGCAGAGGAGGAAGGAAGGGGGAGAAGGAGAACTCAGCCCCCTAATAGGTTGAGCTATGATCGGCTTGGAAGACCAGCCAACTCAACCTTGACCGGTTCGGCTCTCATGCTAGGCGATGATGCGGAAGATGAAAGCGAGGAGTGCGCCTTTGCCTTCTTCTCTCCGGTGGAGATGCCGGGGGAGCCTACAAATCCCAAGGAGGCTTGGGAGGGCCCCAATGGGAAGGAGTGGAAGAAGGCCTCAGATGAAGAAATGGGGAGCATCATCGAGAACGACACGTTTGACTTGGTGAACCTACCCCCGGGGCGTAAGGCGATCTCTTCCAAGTGGCTCTTCAAGCGCAAGACCGACGCCGACGGCAACATTGAGCGCTACAAGAGCAGACTTGTAGCCAAGGGGTACCAGCAGCAGGAGAAGAAGGACTACAATGAAGTATATGCTCCTGTGGTAAAGGGTACAACCCTTCGAACCCTCTTCGCCGCGGCGGCCATCAAAGGATGGGTGGTGAAGCAAATGGATATCGTAACGGCCTTCCTCAACGGAGTTTTGGAGGAAGAGACCTACATGGAGCAGCCAGAGGGGTACAATGATGGGAGTGGCAGAGTGTGGAAGCTGAAGAAAGCACTCTATGGCCTCAAGCAAGCCCCTAGGCAATGGTACATCAAGCTGCGGGAAGTCTTGGAGGCGATCGGTTTCACTCCCTCAACGGCCGATCAATCATTGTTCATGCTTGGCGAGGGGGAGCAGAGGAGCTTCATGGTGGTTTATGTGGATGACATCCTCATATTCTCACCCTCCTCTGACCTTGTGAAGGAGGTGATGCTGAAGCTTCAAGACAAGTTCAAGTGCAAGACCCTTGGTGACGTCAACTACTACCTTGGGCTTCACATTGAGCGAGATGTGGAGAAGCGGTGGATGCGAGTGCATCAAAAGAAGTACTTGGAGGCCTTGGCTGCAAACTTTGGAAAGAGTGAAGGTCATGTGGCTACTCCTCTTCCCTCAGGGTTCAAGTGTGTGAAAGGACCAGCAGAGGAAAGTGTTGGTGAAGAGGAGAGGCGCCGTTTTCATTCCTTGGTGGGCAGCCTCATGTATGCGGCCGTTCACACAAGGCCGGATGCAGCCTTTGCTACCGGACAGCTAGCTAGGGTTGTCCAATGCCCTAATGAAGAGCAGGTAGCAGCTGGAGAGAGGGTGGCCAAGTACCTTGGCCAAACAGCAACTGTTGGACTGCAATACTCCGCGGCGGCACAAAGGCGTCAAAAGGGTGCGGATGGAGTCGAACCCGGGAGGCTCTTTCTCACCGCCTTCTCTGATGCATCTTGGGCATCAGAACCAGAGGACATGACAAGTGTGGGAGGCTTCATCTGCTGTGTTGGTGGAGGACCAACAGCTTGGGAGAGCAAGAAACAAGTGGACCAAGCATTGAGCTCGGTGGAGTCCGAGTACATGGCACTCTTCCGTGCCATAAGAGAGGTTGTGTGGCAGCGGCGTTTGCTAGCTGAATTGGGGGAGGAGCAGCAAGGACCTACCCCCCTCTACTGTGATAGCCAGGGTGCTATTGCATTGGCTAAGAACCCCGTTCTTCATGGCCTTACCAAGCACATGAAGGTGAAGTGGCATTGGGTGAGGAGCATGGTAACCGCGGGTGAAGTGGAGTTGCACTACGTGAAGACGACGGCGCAGCCGGCTGATATGATGACCAAGAGGCTGGTTGAGCAGCAGCATTGGAAGTGTTGCAAGCTTGCTGGGATGGCTCTGAACTAAGGGGAGCAGATTCTAAGGTCAACAATCCGAGGGGGAGTTTGTTGGTGCAACCCTATGGCTTGCACTCGGCTTGTCGTCCGTGTTTGTGTGTGTGCATGCATGGCATGGAATGACTTGTGAGTCTATGTCATTGCTATCTAGTGCTTGTGTGTGTGTTTGAATGGTGTCTCACAATGTGGTGTGTGTCGGTCAAGACATTAGTGAGTTTTTACAACTCGCATGTCAAGTCGTCGTTTGCGTGTCGCATGTGTTTTTCTATTTTGTCAAGTGTGAAGTGTCCATCGCGTCGCAGGTGTGTGCAGCAAGCCCCCATCAACTCAAGAAGAATTTATCTTGAAGAACCAAGACCAAGAGCTCAAGATTTCAAGCCCAAGGGACGCGGATAAATATTAAATAGTGAAAATAGTAACGCTACTTCGTGTAGTGTTACATTTCACTTGGTGTAGCCCCTTGGAGGGTTTGTTTTGAGACTCTTCGTGGTTGGGGACTCTGTGGTGGTGTACCACCAACCTGGACCTCGGCTCTTGGGGTATGTAGAGGCTGGGAACCATCTCCCTCTCAAATTCTTCTTCCTAAGTTTTTTGTACTCCTAACACTATAGTGGCTGCTGTACCTCCTGCCAGTCAAACCGCCATAGCGTCGTCAAATCTCGATGGAATTTTATGATTCAACTTGCTGCTGATAGGCGACACCAACGCGCTCCAGATCCAATTTACAGATCACCGTTTGAGGCACACATCAGATCGGCATCAATATTTGAAGCTGGCTGACGGAATTCTGACTGTGCACATTTTCTCTCATTTTAGGCACATCTGAGCCTATTGTGATTATAACAGGACCTGGCAGGACGCGACATTCTTCGGAGCGTCAGATCGTTCGACAGCCGACATCGACGACCAATAATTGCTGCAGGAAACGAGTCAACCCGGGCACCGACAGCTACTGAACGCGACTCAGGAAGCTCTTCAGATCGCTTGGAGTTTGGACCGTCGGATTGACTTCTGCTTCAACGGACGAGATGGAGCGCGACTTCAGCACAAAGGGAGAATGACGCGCAGAACAAGAAATCAGCCGCCTTCGACACCGTTCACATCATCTGGACTACCAAACTCGGACTCCTCCATTTGGTAACAAATATGGCGCAGAAAGTATCTGCAGAGTCAGAAATATGCCGAAGAGTTACCTACTTGGTAATAGCTGCAAGCAGAAAACTGACAGGAGAATGTGGATCGTCGGATCGGTGCGGAATCAACGGCACGAATGCAGCGGAGATTACACTATGGAAAAGCATCATCATGGAGACAACATTCGTGACCAGTGACTGCACAATCGACGCAACTTCTGACTAGTGTCGACAACGATCGATTTATTTTGACGAAGTCATCTTCGTTAAAAATCGACATCAACACAACGAGATCTTCACCCAGGAAAAACAATGGAGCTGCGTGAAGACATGTTCTCCATCCATGAGACACTTCACCTCATAAATTTGATCGACAACCTATGGGATTGCAGAGAAGTAGCCGTTTCCTCTTGCAATGCTCTCAAGTTCAATTTGTTGCGAAGGAGCAGATTTTGCACGCAAGGACGACGCAGTGAACCCGTCTCGTCAAGGCCAGCGAGACACTACTTCGTAACAAGAGCTGATCGATTCGTCGTCATCAAGAATCTCAACCATCCGAGGTGATTGATTGGAGCAGTCTCAACATCAACCTCACGAGGCAACACACTAATCATGCGTCGCGATTCCAGATGAAAATTCTCTGCGCATGTCACGATGCTTGACAGATTGGGGAGTAATTAACCTAAAATCCGGCAAGTACTCGTTCACTAGCGACCCAACGGCACATGCATTGGAGGCGATTCTACCAGAAGCCGAAGCGTTACAAGCATCAGCGTAACTTCGACGATACAGGAGAATGCCAAGCAACACGGGTTGTCATGACATGAGGGAGATTTGGACTAGTACAATAGAATCACACGCTCTACTGACCGTACATCGGAGGCACGGATGAGCATACCAGGAATTGCTAACCATTGATATATTGAGGGGAGAAGCAAATTTCTCTTCACACCCTCAAATGAAACCATCACCGGCAGCAATGGAGCAACACATGTGTACCAAAATGCACATGATCCTGGTAGTTACGTCTATTACACCCATTTGGAAAACTCTACTGGGATGAGGGAGTTGATGGATTCTTTTTAAACCATTACGAGTTAAGAGAATTCTCTGCAGCAGTTGCCGCCGTCGCCATTGTTGCAACAGTCGCCGCCGTCGCAGCAGAAGACTCGACACAACAGTCATATCCAAACCCTGATGGATGATTCTCCGCTCAATGGAGATAATGCTGGATTATATTCCAGTGGATCGTAAAAGTCATGGCCAGGCACAGTACTATGATTTCCAGCTAGTGGAAAAGAGACACCACTATACGAAGAAACAATATGGCAATGCCATATACCCTCAAGAGCAGGAGATATTTGCTCTTATGAGGATGGGAGGACTACGGTACTCTACCGGTATACAAGTCCTCATGGCCTATGGCTTTCGTTAAAGTCATAAAACCTGCGTCGCAACCAATCCATCACCAGCACCACCTCCATGGAAGCAGATAGGCATGAAATGGAGCGCCGACGCCACTCCGGATAGTGGACTCCGCGCATCTCCAACAACACCCCTGTTTGCCGAAATGGAGCAGACTTCAACATCGATGTTGAATAGCTGAGACGTGTTCGACATCAACGGTACTTCAAGGACAGTAACAGAATGAGACAACACATGATGGCACCAGAAGACCTATCCCAATATGTTCGCCCAGACACGGATGCCTACCGATGGCCTCCGTGCTAAACTAGAAGTGCATAAGGTCATACTGGATTTGCTGTCAGCAATGCTCATTTGGAAATGGGAGAGGATTATTTGGGAATACCCCTTATATTCCCAAGTGTCCTAACCCATCACCGTGGGATATCTACACAGTTGAGATTCCTTGCTTGAGCAACCACCGAGGGAAACTACATTGGCGCCGATTCTGGAAGTTACCAGCTCCGCGTTTATGGTACCAGCCCCTCGCATGGTTTTGAACACAAGGGATATGCTGAGCAGCACTTCGCATGCGCTGTTGTACTCAAGGTAATGTGACTAGCAGACCGCGTGATGGACAGGGTTACTACGAGTGATTCTGCTCTCCATTCCGCAACACTACGATGCCGAGAGGGTACAACTCGCGACAACACTAAGGCATGGACCAGCATTCAACAGAAGCTGCATGTTACGGATACAACACTGCTACAGAAGCAGTACTACGACACGACTGCCATACCACCACCACTTGGTGATCTTCAGGCGTGGACGAGATGCAAGTGATCTTCAGGCATGCACAGAACAGACAACATAGCCATTTATCTGCATGTTACAGCACACTTTTCCAACCACTCAAGTCTCCAACTACAACTTGCACCTGCCCATGTATCACTGACGGCTATCCTTTCTTGTTGTGGACGGAGCCTGCTCACTCTGTAGCAACAGACAGTTCTTGCTACAGTCCAACTGGCTTACGATTTCATCGCCATCGTCCATCATCTCGAAGATCGGCCACACAAGCGCCTCTCCAACCTCCAACAACAACAGAAGCACTTGGCCGCTCATCACTACAGTTATCCACACCGTAATCTCAGCCATACTCCATCCAAGCTTCAACCTTGCTTCTGCAAGTCTACCCCCGTTGAAGCAAATGTCACTTCAGTCACCTTCCGCTTCCGCCTACCAGCCACTTGGAAGCTCCATAACGCCTTCCATACCAGCTTCTTAAACCCTATCATGACCAAACAAGCTATACACCGAATGCCAACCACCGTCGCCGCCGTGTTCGTCCACGACATGGGACAACTACGTGCTCGGACATTGTCGTCATCAGAATGGCACTATGGAACTCCTTCTTTGCTGGAAGGGTTATGATCCTTCTGATGCTGCGTCTCTAAAATCGACATGGTAACGCCCGTCGTCCTCTTTGCGACTACCTTGTCAAGCAGGGTGTTACTTCTACCACCCTGCTTTGAAGGGGGGAAGTGTGAGAGTACGACACCGTTACACCAATTTCTCCTTTCCATATTTCATATCTATTTCATTCCTCTTTTTATCCCGATTCATTTCGTCTTTATCTCATCTCATTTGGTTTCTCATTCCTCCATTTCCATTATCCTTTGGTTTATCCTGTTATTATGATTATATCACCGGCCAGGCTCGGGATGTACAGGCGCGCTATATCTAGCGTAATCCTGCCGTAATCCCTTAAAGCCAACAGCCTTGCATGGCTATATGCAGAGTGATTCTATTTCTAGAAGGATCTATTCCCTTTGGATAGGATAAACTTGGTTACCTGATGTACTCTGGAACTGTAAAAGCACCTTGTACTCATGGATAGTGCAAGATTGAGCAAACCTCATTCGATCCTGTGACAAGTTGTCTCTCGTTTACTCACGTCGCTTGTCACAAAGCCTGGGGCTCCTACTGAGGGTGTCTCTGCCCCAGTCGCTGCTGTCGCTGACTTTTCCGCGAGCCACTGCCTCGACTACGCCTTCGCTTTGGTCTGACCCTGCCTGTCCTCCATCCATCGGGGGTGCATCTGCCCTTGGGAGTGAAATCATAGGGGATATGCAATATGAGCTAGCCTTCCTTGCAGCTGATGTACCTCATATCTGAGCCATGCTTGTGTCCCTTGACGGCGAACCGGATGCCTTGGACATCCCTATCCTACGCTCCTATGCTGAGGCAGTCTCAGGTGCCTGGGCAGCCCAGTGGATATAGACCATGGAGGCGGAGATGGCATCTTATAGATCCACTGGCACTTACGTCGATGTAGTTCCTCCAACTGGAATGAGCATAGGCGATGGCATGTGGATCTATTAGGTGAAGCGCCTGCCTGGAGAGTCGCCTGCGTTCAAGGCGCGCTATGGCTAGAGGTTTCAGTCAGTGAGAGGGTGTGGACTTCTTCCAGACCTTCTCCCCTACCCCGAAGATTCTCCTTTGGTGACTACACTTCGGGTGCTCCTCCACGTAGCCGCACAGCGTGACTACAAGATTCACTCCCTACAATTCTTGATAGTCTTCTTGCAGTGCAGCGTTTACGAGCAAATCTACCTACGGCGCCCACTAGGCTTCATTGGGTCCTTCCCGCCTGGGACTCATTGGAGCCT